AGTACTCCCACACTGCACTTCTTACTCTTGTCTTCCTCTGTGCATCAATTTACAATAAGCGTAATATAAAGAGAGAGTTAAAAGTGGGGCCACTGTATGCTTCATGATTAAGCCTATGAATACTTTACTACAGCTAAACAGCTTGGGGAAATGTAAGTATTTGGCTTCAATAATTTACATGTTAGAAATATATGTGTAATAGCATAACCTCTCATAATTTCTCATTAATTATTTTCTGATGGCTAAAACAACATACAGTAGTAGAGGTGGCTATTCAATTCATCATCTAATGCACATCAATGGATTAACTTTAAAAAAATGTATATAAGAAGTGTAAATAATTTAATTGTCTTCATAACTATATTGTAGAAGTTGTTAAGAAGAATGCAACTATTTTCATGAAACTATAACACCTAATAGCCTTTTACAGGCACACTTAGTTCAGTATCCTATTGAAATGTCTTAGCCTATGTGACACTAGAAATTTCAGTTAGTTTTAATTTACAGTACAGTGCAAATGAAGGCATAAATCAATTTAATTTATCTTTTAATCAAATGAGAGTTAAACTCTTTATTTTTTGGCAAACAAAGGGTTTACTATTAAAATTAAAACATGGAAGAAATAGCATATTGTGTGATTATTCTTGTAAACAACTGTTGTAATAATTGTTGTAGTAGTATTATGCATATCATACTGCACCACGGTAATATATTTCTGATAATTTCTTTAAGCTAACCCGAACTTATATTTTGGCGGGTTGCTATAAGGAACTTTTAAGTTTCTGTAGCCTATGTAAGTGTTTCCCATACATTGATTTATTTGTGGTGCCCGCCACAATATCAAAACTGACCACCACAAATAGATCTTCCAAAAGGCTTTGACTTCGTTGAATAAACATGAGCACTGCATGAATTAATTTGCATATATGCCGCCACAAACAAGTGAAAGTCTGTGGGAAACACTGCAGTTTTACTCAAACAAAACGGCTTAATAATTTTTATTTTTTATTTTATTTTTTGCGGCTTAATATTTACAGATACTAGTCCATATCGTGACTCTATTTAAGTGTACTGACATACTTTTGATTAATTCATCCAAACTTTGACAAATTCCGTGAAATTCTGCGTCATACAGTAAATTCCATTTATATGACTGGATTCTGCGATTCCGTCCACATTTTCTGCATCGCGGAAATCATAGATAATATTGAGGTGTTTTGCAACTTCAGTGTAACGTTAGTGGATTGTGATTTATTGCAAATTAAGCAACATCTGCTGCTGCCTTACCTTTGAGAGACAACTGATGCGTGATCACTGAAGTAGCTCCAGTTAGCAAGCGCTTTCGGAGTGAGAGTGAATTCTGCATTGATTGGTCGGACTCGTGACTCCCAACAAATCAGATGTGTGGTGGGCGGAGATTGCTTTACGCCACAGAGTGGTGTGTTCTGATAAGCTGCATCAGAGCCAAATAGCGCGTTTCAAAATTAAGTTATTTTATCGGCGAATCGGTTTTGAAAATGACCGAAACCAATAATCATAAAAATGCTTAATATCGGCCAGGCCGATAATCGGTCGACCCCTAATATTCACGCCTGAAAGGCCAATGACGCTATGAATGCGGTCGCATGCGTCATTCCCTGTGGTCTTCAGCTCATCACCGTGCTGCTACAACACCATCACGCCACATTCACAAGAGAAAGCCCACGGTGGTGACTCTTGTTGAATAAGAAAATGCATAAAAGAGAGGTAGCTCAAGTTTAGCACAGCTAACAAAGGGCTAATCAACTTTCTCAAGAGAAATGTCTGAGCATGAGTGGAGCATTACTCACTCTTGTCCTATGGCATGTGGGTGTTTATGGTCACAAGCGCTGTCCGAAGTTTTGGGGAGTTATCCATGTTAGGTTGACCCTCTCCAACCCCGGTGTGTGTGTGTGTGTGTGTGTGTGTGTGTGTGTGTGCCAGCAGTTCTATCGTTCCGCACTTACGCGGTGTGTAGCATGTGCTTGGTGGCTCAGTGGCCAAGCATGGTCTGCTCCAGTCTTCTGGGGCTTATCCTGATGTGGCTCTCGCCGTTGTTGGCATGGCCATGGAGTATTAGGGCGATTGTGGGGAAGTCGGTGTCCGAAGTTTTGGGGAGTTATCCATGTTAGGTTGACCCTCTCCAACCCCGGTGTGTGTGTGTGTGTGTGTGTGTGTGTGTGTGTGCCAGCAGTTCTATCGTTCCGCACTTACGCGGTGTGTAGCATGTGCTTGGTGGCTCAGTGGCCAAGCATGGTCTGCTCCAGTCTTCTGGGGCTTATCCTGATGTGGCTCTCGCCGTTGTTGGCATGGCCATGGAGTATTAGGGCGATTGTGGGGAAGTCGGTGTAGTGTTCACGACAAGGTTCCTCTGGCCGCCCCCAGAGTCTGAGTAGAACTTTAACTGTTTCGCTAGATGCGGACGAGGAATGCTTTGATTATATTTTTCAAGCAGGGTAGATCGTGGCTCTCCTCCCCACTCGCCGAGGCGGTGGATGGAAGGGAAGTGATGAAGGGCCCTTGCATGGGTCTGTATTGGAGAGTGGCAGCGAAGTTTGTCAGTGGAGTGACTTGAACCTCCTCCGATGCAGAGAGATCGTGGGTTATGTTTGACTCCTGTAGAAACAGTGATGAGAACCTGCCTGACGATATATCCGAATTGTGTAAAGACAATACATTGGACTTATTTACCTCATGATCAGGCCATGTGCTGACAGAGGAGGTAAATGCAGTGATATGCAATATCCAGCAATGTTTGCAAATAAAAAGGGGCATGGCAGTTCCCCAAGTGATTTTTCACCACACCGGGATCCTCCCTGTCAACCTGAAGCAGAGGCGCGCATGCGCAGTAACACTGTGGGTTCTTCGCACGATTCCAATGGGGCTATAAGCTACTCTTTCTTTCGTGCGCCCTCTCAGGTTTCGGCGGAGTATTTGCAACAGCGATGTCCGAGGGGGCTTCCCAAGTGCTGAGGGAGGACATCCATACTCTCCTCAGCAAGGTGGCAATTCAGGTGGTGCCACAGGGGAAGATGGAGGAAGAGGGTTTTGCAGCCGTTACTTCCTCCTAAAGAAAAGGGTTTTTTCCCACCCTAGCTTAGATTCACAACTGTTGAACAAGCACTTAATGTATTAAAAGTTCAAAATGCTTATATTATGTCACCTGGCATGCCCTCTGCAATGCATCCTCAGGACTGGCTTACATCAGGTTTGCCCGATGCATATCATTTTTGTAAAGCACTGCTTTGCAACGATTTGCATCGTGAAAGGCGCTATACAAATAAACTTGAATTTAATTGAATATGGCCACCCGGGGCACAGAAATTTTCTGAGGTCTCTGTCGAGGGTGCCTACAGTTTTTTTGGGGGTCCCTAGAGCCACGCATATCTGCAAGATGTGCAGAAGTGGTGCGGCTCTGCGGTGCCGTCTGAGCATTTTGTTCGCCAGTTTGGGCGACCTACTCCTGACTGCAGACAGCGGGAAACAAGCAGTGTTTCGAATACGTACACTTGTTTTCCATTTATGAGCTCTGAGATTCCTGATGAATCTCAAAAGGGGCTCGCTGGCCCAGAGTCAGTGGATGTTATATCGGCGGACAGACTCAAAAGCACAACAGGGGAAGAGGTTTATCACAGCTGTCTGGCTCAGTTTCGGCTGAGGCGGCGAGCGCGTTTTTCTTAAGGAATTGAGACTGCTGGGGCTCATGGCCTCGATAGCAGTAACATGGCTTGGTCTTCTCTTTATGCATGGGTTCCGGCGCTGTATACCGAGCGACATTTAAAACAGACATGTGTCGATAGCGCCAATGTGCGTTCAGGCACTGATCCCCTGTGGGAAACCCCAATCTGTTGACAGAGGGAATCCCCAGGGCAGGGTTACGCCATGTGTAGTAGTGACAACAAATGCATCACTCACGATATGGATGAGGGACTCTGTAAGAGGAGAGTGGTCAACAGTGCTGTAAGAGCGTCAAATAAACGTTTTGGAGTAGTTCTCCTAGTGCTGAGACACTTGGCCCAGTGGGGTAAATGTGTTAGTCAGAATGAGAAATATGATATGTGGTGTCATACATAATTGGCAAGGGAGCGTTTGTTCTCTTCCCCTGCTACAATTGGCATGGACGCTCTGGATATGGGGCAGACCTGCGGTCCCCCATGGAGTGATGTTTGCACTAATGGCGCAGATATGGGATCGGGTTCTTTTTCCCTATACAATGACCTGCTGTCCCAGGCAGGAGGCAGACTCTGCGCCCTCGGCTGGAACTGTGGTTTCTAGGGCCTGCCCGTTGAGAGAGAAAATCTGATAGATCTGTTTGATCTGACAAGAATGCCTGCAATGGGAAGATTGTTGTGTTGAAGTTGTGCATATTTAAAGCTTGGTGCGGGCAAGGCTCGTTATTGCCGTGTCAGTGCCCGATTGAGGGGATACTGATTTTCTGAAGGAAGGTCATTCCCATTCCACAATGGAAGTTATTGAACAGCGGTTTGTCTTGTCATGCGGGCATTGCATTGAGGCTGCTGCGCCATTTGAAGCACGCACCTGCTTGCCTTGCGGTTCCTTAAAGGACCGGGTATTCTTAATTTTTTAAGCTCTGCTCTGTCTCACGCAAGGTCGTGAGCACGATCTTTTCGAAGCATACTCCTTTGGCAAAAGTCACAAAACTTGGACTGCACAGGGACCCTCCTGATTATGGCAATCACGTCATACAGGCAGTGTTCGAACTTGAACACTGTTCGAACTCGAACGTGGAAGTTCAGACCATCGTGGAACTTCCACGTTCTGCTCCGTCTCGCGCACGTTAGAACGTACGCATTTCAAGGTACTCCTTTGGCCGTAAGTGCAGAAAGACATGTTCAGCGAATACACACTGTCTAGTTGACTTTGTTTCCAAGCGCTCAAGTCACTTGCATGTGTGCAAAAATTGTACTGCATGTAGACAGTGTGTGTGGACGTCCGCGGATGCCCTCCTGTTGACAAGGTTTATGTCGCACGAAAGGTATGTGGAATGCGGGCGGCCGAAGTACTTAGGGCTTAGGTCTACAGACTATGTGTTAACCTTTGTTTGAGCCTTTATAATCCTTGAGTCTTGGATGCTGCCCGTTGGTTGGCACTGGCATCAGAGAAGTGCATTGGGGATCTTTATGCGCTGTTGGTGCATCCCTTGTGCATCAAATTTTGAGTTGGGTGGTGTTGCATCCGAACGCAGCATACCCTGATGGCACGAGTAGGCTACTTCACTCCTCCCTTTCTCCTCTCCACCTGTAGCTGCATGTTGAGTGTACTGGTGCCGTTGTACTGTGGCTGAATTCACATCATCCAAGTGGGCGCTGCACACTGGTGGTTGAGGAGAATTCCCATATGATTGTAAAGCGCTTTGGGTATACAAGCAATACACCATGGAAGTGTTATATGAATGCCCAATTTATCACGGAGACATCTATTTGATGTCTGCATGTACATCTGCAAGATGTTTTTTTACAGTATTTGCTCATCTGCAATACGCCTATAGGATGTTTCCTATCAGATGTCAAGTGGACATTTTTGATATGTCTTTAAGATGTTTATGATTAAGAACATATGTAAAACTGACATCTTAACGGCATCTGTCAGATGTTTGCACACAGCAGATGCTTTCTGGATTAAGCGATCTTTAGTAGACATCTTGACTTGCAGACGTGCGTGTGCTATCTGGGTATACACCGGACAGGAGTGCTCTTCCGTTCAAGCTGCCTGCCCTGTCAAATCTCTGACTCAGAAGGAAGACAGGAGATTTCATGCTCTTGTACAAGACGTATGCAGGTACAGTGAGCAAATGCAGGCTGTGACCAGCTTTTTGTGCCCATGTGAAGCCGCTTCTTGAATGGCGTTTTTCACGTTGGATTGTAGAAAGCTGTGTCTAGCATATAAGACATGCCTGTTATGACTAATACCCACATGGGAGCTTGGGCGCTCTACGAGGGGTGTGGAAACGTCATGGGCATGGTTTAAGATGTTTGTGCGACTGCCAGTTGGGCATCACTGCACTAGTCTGTTCGTTTGTTGACTAGATGTCACTGCGGCAAGGGGTAGCTATGTCCGTGCTTACCCAGGGGTTGCAAGCCAGGGGCCATTGCTCCCGTAAAATGCACGGGGTATGTGGCGGTGCTGGTCCCTTATGTTTAGTTCGGCTACTTTACAGGGCGTGAATATATGTCCCATAGTCATGTGTTGTACTGAGTGAACCGACTGAATGGGAACGTTGAGTTATGCATATGACTACTGTTCCCAGAAGGAGGGAAACGAGGTACAACACCTCTGGGCCCCGCGCAGTCAGAGACTCGGTGAAGAGCTGGACGGAACAAAGGGAATGACGCATGCGATCGCATTTAAATGCTGTGGGCTGGTAGCCCCACCCACGTCGGCATGTGTCATTGGCCTTTCAGGCGTGAAAATAGGTGTCTTCAGCAGATGGCGCAAGAGCGCGATATCCCATAGTCATGTGTTGTACCTCGTTTCTCTCCTTCTGGGAACAGTAGTTATATGCATAACTCAACGTTTTCTGCTATTAGCAACACTCTAAGTGCTAATAGCTTTAGCATGCTGCCAATGATACTCGTTTGTGCTTCACATATTTGGATGTGTAAAATAAAATAAAGGAGAGTCTATGTAAATATCGCTTTACCAGTTATTTATCTTTAATTTAATTATATTGTGCCTGTATTACACACCTAAATTACTCCTGTTTAAGTGTAGCATGATTGTGTGCTCAGTGCTGATGGCTTGATTAAGTTGTTAGTGCACACATGAGGTTATGAGATGCAGCACAGTAGTAGCTGAGTTCAGCAGGTTCAGTGGAGTTTTCTGTCTGTCGGTGAGAGAGAGCTTTCTCATCCTCAATCCCTCTCACACACACACTGACACACAAATATCACACATGTAGGTCATGTTGACTAGCAGTAGTGTTAGTCTCTGTTGTGATGTCTGGCTGTTCTCAAGTCAGCACTCTGCTCATGTGGAATTAGCCGTGAAGCTCACAGGCCTCTTTCCAGGACAATCTTATTGAGAGCAAAAGATAGAGGCATCCACAACTATCCCTTCCAACCAGTGACACAGTGACCTCTCACCTTCCACCCCACCTCTCTCTGCCTCTCTCTCTCAGGCGGTTGTTTACGTTTCTGTTATGATCGGAGCACATGCGGCCAGCTGGAGGAGGGGATCTTAGGGGGAGGAGCAGTGACCGACAGGATAAAAGTCTGTAGCTTAAATCAGGCCACTGTTTACAAGAAAAAAACAAACCTTAAATTACTTTATTTTAAGTTGTGTTTTGTTATAAATAAATGTATTTGCTTTATGTAGCTGTATGTAAAATTATAGTTCGTTGTTATTACAGAGTGATGATTGCATGAGATAAAAGTGGTGGTATAGTTAATCCGTTGCCATTAAGAGGCTGTTGACCACTCACATCTCCCTCTCTGGTCCCAAATTCAAGAGCAAGGGATGTGCACACATACTGAAAAATCACACCAATGATTGATCATGAAAAAAGTAATCAGACATGAATATAAAACTTAAATTCTCTATCATTAATGACACTTAAATCCAATTAGTCGTGCATGCAATGAGCACCACCTTTTCCATGCATAGGTTCCTCTGAAGTCTGTATAACCAAATATAACCTAAATTCTTTAAATTGTTCTTGATTGATTGTGTTTTGATTTATTACAAATTCAAGAATCAAATTCAGTAATCAAATGAATTCATAAAACTTAAAAAATCTTTTAAAATGTAATAAAATGAAAATGCAAGAGTCCCTTTACAACAAAACATTGCATATTTTGTCAAATTAATCATGCCCAACAAGAGGTAAATGAATTGATTGTGTGATAAAGGTTTGATAATTTATTACTTAATATTTGTAGTAGTAATACATTTTACTCTATTAGTGATATATTTATGTCAATTTCTATAAGTTCAACTTATTTGGATGGTTTGTCATGAAGATCTTTGCGTTTCTGATTGTATTTGATGGTAGTTTTTACCAAATGACAGGGCTCTAAGCTTATTTTTCTTTTTAGGAGCACTTGTGCTCCTAACTTAAAAAATTTAGGAGCACAGTCAAAAATTTTGGAACACCTTCTAATCAATAATCCAAAATTTGATCAAAAATTAGCCTTCCCATTACGAGGTGATATTTGACTCCTTAAAGTGATTTACAGTGGAATTTTGTTTTTACCTTTGTAATGGCATTTTTCTAACTTTATTAAAAGTATGTAATCTTTTGTCAAATTTTTTAGAAAATTATATTTTATAAGCTTTTTAAAAATTCTTATTAAAACCACAGAATAAGAACAAGTAGAATAAGAAGAATAAGTCACTAATCAAATGAAATCAGTATTAAAATTAATTTGTACAGAGGTGGCACAGAAGAACACAAAAGTGGCATGTAGGCGTATTTTCAGACATTTAATGAGGATCAGAGGTGGCATGAGTGCAATTAAATTCATGTTAAGATTAATGTTTCAAAAAATTTTGAATATAGAAATATTAAATGATTTAAAAAACTGAAAAGATACTTTAAAAATGAAACAAACTGCCAGCAGGTGGCGACAAGTCACTGATTTTATCACTGAATCATTAATTCAATTGATTCATTAGAAAGGCTGATTCATTCAGGAATGAAGCAATGGACAGTGTTTATGAATGGGTAATCATGAATCACTGACTCACAAGATTCCTCACAAGTTTAAAAATGCAGTTCATTCATAAACGAGACACCGGTGTGTTTGAATGGAGATGCGCAGCGGCTGAGCTGTGACTTTGTTTCAAACTATTTTGGACGACGAAATAGAGCAAAATCAGACAATAGTGTTATAGTCAGACAATGTAAGTCACTTAATATTAACTTCTTGTCTATTGAACTGTTGTATTAAATCAGTATCACATTTACAAACTCCCTTAAAAATCATTAAAAGCTGTCACTCATCTTAGCTCATGGCGATCTCACATTTATAATCAACAAAGCTCTCTACACTGCACAATTAATCTTTTATTTACACCGTCTACACTTTGCTTATGAAAGGATTCATGAGATATGTCTGTGATACATTACTCAACGCTGCAAAAACACGTAGAAACCTTTTAAGCTCCCCTCAGCGATCACAATCACAAATATGATGAAGATCTAGTTAGTGGCACTGGTGCTCCTAAATATTTTTTCATAGTCGCACGTAGTTTTCAGTTGCAAATGCGACTGCAATGGTCGCACTTTAGAGCCCTGAATGAAATGGTAAAATGCTCATGAAATGAACTGATATAACGTCTTATATAGTGAGACTGCAGTGCATTCTGTAGTAGATGAAACTGCTCTGCTTATTCACTCTTAGACACATAGAACACGTTTACTTCATATGTTAATTGGTTTAATAATAACAGACACCAGTCCATATCACAATTTGAATTAATTGTAAAGCTTTACTTTAGGTTTACTAATCCAAAATTTGTACAATTCTCTGACAGTCAATGTTATACAGTATATTGTGTTTAATGATTTTATTCTGCAAATCCGTCCTCCTTTTCTGTATCATGGAAATCATATGAGTTAGTGCACAGCATAACATAGGACACCAAATAGTATATTTCTTTTGTCTTCTAATGTTTTGCGGTTCATTTACACAAACAACTTAATATGAATGGTCTGGGCTGGGCTTTCTTTTTTTGCTTGACTGTGCATGGAATACATACCAATTGATGCATTGCATGTGGAATTTCGGCAACACACTTGTGACTTTTAACTTCACACAAACATTTCCAGATATGCTTTATGCTACTTATGACAAATAATATCACAGTGCACTTGTTGTGTCGGCTTGTTGTTGCTACAGGAAGTGACATTAACGGGAAATCCTGTTTTACTGCCTGCCTTGACAACAGTGGTGTGATCCTTTATCTGCTTCACGACTACCTAGATACAGTTTAATGAGAGTTACCTGGCCTGAAGCCACGTGGGAGCAAACGGCG